TGGCATAATTTTCAAGGCGGAAATATTTAATCTTGGTGCTGTTCTTGTCTATCACCTTTTAGCATGATTTTATTGCTTTCTGTAAACGTAGGCCTAAGAAATGTATTATTCATCGCCTAGTGTCGAATTTAAAGTGTTCTAACCAAAATCAGAAGATGTTGAAAACATCAATACTAACAAACAATCAGTGACACGTATATCAGTTGAATACTTGACTCAATGGTTAAGAAATACCTGTAAATTTAAAAACACCTTTTTCCTCTATTAGAATTTAAATCACTTATGGGCACACAGAACACTGACTTTACTGCCAGACTATACATGCAGTTTTTAACCCTTTTGGGGTTATCTCCAAAAAAAAACCTACCTGGCGACATATTTCCCAATTATATTTGTAAATGATTTAGGCATACCCACCCCTAAAAAAACGTTTTAAAAATACGATTAGAAGAAAAAAATTAATGATAAAAAGCCAAAATTCGAATTTAAACCTTCTATACAATGATCATTTGCCTAAAATTTTCCAATAAGATTCTGCATGTCATTTAATATTAACAGATTGAGGCATAATTTAGACATTTTCTTTTATAATTTAACCAAAGATAAATCATCCTTTTAATCAGTGACTTACCCTGTGGGATACCGAATGTCCTATCAGTCGTAGGGCCGTCCCTTCCACCCCTGCTCTGTGACGCACGACGTACATCCCACTGCTCTTCTCGATGCTCTAAGCTCTTCTGGGGGTGTCGAACCCTGAACCCGCAGAGTGATGAACGTGGGTCCTCGAAGTCGCATTTGAATATATCTGTGTGTTGTAAGAAAATGATTCGTTTTATTGTAAAACAGCATCTGAGGAACTAACACTACAAGAAACTCTGCTTCAAGTTAGTTCCTCTTTTCTCGTGCTTTTTCCATTATATTTGTTGTTTCATTGCATATTTGTTGTGATATAATATTATTCTTGTATTATGTTTTGCATGAGAAATAAAATCATTGGAATCATTGAACCATTTCACAGAGAGAGAGAGAGAGAGAGAGAGGGGGGGTGTAACTTTTTGTAATACTATAACGAGTGTTTACTTGTATGAGGGCGGTACTAGGATTTTGTACAGGGTTCGGGGCGGCAGAATGCTGAAAATTCCGGCGAGCACTTCAGATACCCCTTGGCTCGAAAAATTGAATATGGGGCACTTTTTCATGTTATGTTCTTCATGTCTGCCTCTTGGGTTTTAAAGGGGCTTGGGAATTCAGGTTGTATCTCGGATAGGCCTACTTGTTGAAACATGCGTGAATGTTTGAGTGCAATCGGAACATAACAAGTACAATCTACTTCGCTTCATCTGAATTCACATTGGATTCATGAAAGGTTCAGTCATATTATAGGGGGCCAGCCAAGCTGATGACTGAAGGAAAAGAGAGAGGGGAGAGATGGAAAGGGGAGAGAAAAATTGGACAAGAAATGGAGAGGAGGAGGGGGGAGGAGAGAGAAAGGGGAGAGAGAGAGAGAGAGGGGGGAGAAAAGGAGAGAAAAAAGGGAGAATGAGTGAGAAAGAAAGAGAGAGAGAGAGGAGAGAGGGGAGAAAGAAACTAAGAGAGATAATAATAATAATAGGCATTTCTATAGCGCCGTCTATCTAGAAATTCTATTCCGAGGCGCATTTATTCGAGGGGCAGAGACAGATAGAGGGAGAGAGAGAGGGGAGAGAGAGAGGGGGAGGGAGAGAGAGAGAGAGGGAGAGAGAGAGAGAGAGAGAGAGAGAGAGAGGATGGGGCCTGGGAACAGTTTTCAGGTGAAATTTCTAATCAAATCCGGATATGTTTACACGCTGGATATATAGTTTGTGCATGACGCCATTTTTCCTGTAAAAAAGGTACATGTATCTAAGCATGCTTCAAGCTCAGTCAAATAAACTGACCTACTTTTATGCAGCACATGACATGCTGTACCTGTGTCGAGATCATACAGAGTTAAGTGTATAATATACTGGATATCACAACGTAATACAAAGTTTTGCTCCCTAGATATCAACAATATGCGTACAGGCACGACTGCGGCGAGGGTGATTAACTTATCTCTCTGATTTCTAAATTTGTCAAGCAAATGGAAAGATTGAAGCAAAAAGCAATTTACTCTTTAAAAATGAACAAGGTACATGAACTCAAATAAGTCGCTGCCAGGATGTGAGGTGAAAGTTGTCCGAAAATTGGTCATTTCAAAATTGTCAGGGTGGGGGCTGGAGCCCCAGCTCCGCCTCATTCTCCTGCTCTGGTCTTCGACTACAACAAATCTCAACGATGCGTACACAAATAGTTTTGTATTTGTCCATAATTAGTTAGCTTTCCGTTCCCCGGGCAATATTATGACATGAGCCATATTATTGTCATAAATTATTACTTGCGTTTCAGATGTATGCTCTGGATTATGTAATGGTCCTTTAAAATATCTTTTTCTCGGTGGGGGGGGGGGGGGGGGGAGCGGTGGGGGGGGGGGGCTTTTTTTGGCTATGTTTGATCTTACTCTGCTGTGTTATTGTTTTGGCTGCAGCGTTCCACGGAGTCACATTCGCATCGCCATGTCAGATGCAAAGAGGTCCACCCACTCGCATCTGAGCTGAACTTGTGACCAATCAGAAAGCGGAAATGCGGTGGGCGGTGTATGCACGTCGCTGCAATGGCTGACAGCTTCGATAAATAGCGACTCACCACCAACAAACCCATTAACCCTCGCTCAGGTTTCCCGCGATGGGCATACGGCCAATTCCGTGAGCCTGCTCCAGAGTCTTCCGATGACCGGGGCATTTACGCAAGAGAAGTGCACCTTTCTTTCCCCAGTCCTAGCTCAGTGCCATTAACCATTAACCCATCCTCTCCCCTACATCTGAAGTTGTTTTTAATGGCCTCTATTGTTTGGTAATCAACGGGCAAGGAGCCAAAATCTAATTTAACCCCAAAAATGAAACGAGGACGGGTTTGTTTTCAGGGCCATGCCGAGTTCATCAGGACCGGCGATGACAATGTGGAAGGCGTCGACATCATCTAGGGAATAAATGCTTTGGGAAGGGAACTTTGAGAAGTAGAGATACCATGTGCCCTACTGCAAAACGACTGATTCTTACTAATTAGCTGTGGAAGTACCGTGGTGTATTGATACAGACTCTTGATTCGCATTGGGTCATGAGTACAATTAATGCTTGGTGCTTACATACTTAGACAAAGTATTTTACCCCTATTTTCCCCTCACGACCAACAGATGACCAACGTGTTTTACACGGGTACCTTGAAATGCCGGGAGGGGGATTAGATTTGCAGGGACCTCAGGAAGATCAGTGATGAGGCTACCCAGGGTCAACTAGATCATCACCATATGTCATGTATGTCACTAAACATGCTATATGGGTAACACTTGCACGAATGAGCACCAAAACAACTTTCCTATATGGGTTTTATTTGAGCGGATTGTTATCCGCAATCATTTATTTTCCTTGAAATTTGATGTTTATCAATGGCACGACTGGCCACATTGCGTGAAAAATTGGACCAACCGTTTGCTAAATTTCGTACACAAGAATCGAAACGGTTTATCACGAATGCCCAGTTTGTGCTTACAAACCTCGCTTAACGTTGCTATGGTTACAGTTGATTGAGTTACATATTGCGAAATATTCCATAACAAAGTATGAAAGTAAAGAGAAAAATAATGGCATGCAGACAGGGTATAGCAATAAACATCTGCAAACAATAACAGAATTTGAGCTTATCTATTAAACTAGATCAAACGAGATTTAAAGGATATGCATTTATCACGTTGTGAAATTTGTATCGTTCACATTTTATCTGAACCACATCTAATTCATTGGACAATTGCCATTATTTGATAGCGAATTCTTCGATATTATCATACACTTTAAAATTTAATTTGTTACTCATTTCGAATAGGTCAATGACGAGCTTTGACGACACTTTTGCATGTGTCATATACCATATGATACGAAAAAAATAAATAAAACGAACCAGGAAAAGCTCTTGTAAAAGGAATATATCAAACATTTGCAAATGAAACAGAGGGCCCCAAACTCTGTCAACATTGTTATATATTTCTTTTGTCAAACAGGAGTCTTCAATCGGAATAGATTAGCACATTACGGCCTGCCGCTACAGATCTGTAATCGCTGTTGAAGTTTCGTTGGCAAAAAACAGAAGAAAAGTTGAAACAGTTGTCTTTTAGAACAATGGCTTTAATCATTGTAAAGAGCCAGTTGTCCAAAGATTTTATTCCGAGAGTGGCAGAGATCATAATTTCTTGTAACAGTAAGATCCTTTAGTTGTTTCACATGTGCCATGCCATTGGGGCACAGAGGAAGCGAGCAAGTATCAGTGATGAGTCTGATGACAGATGAGATCATGAATACTCATTCTAGTAATGAAAATGTACGGTATGTGAGGGCCATTTTGTGAAACGGCGTTCAAAGGTTCAAGGTGTATTTAATTCGTTATCAGAAATATAATAAATACTAATGATATCGTCTGGCACATATTTTCTAATAAACAAATAAAGCAGATAAATTGTCAAGTGTTTTGTATTTTTTTTTCTTTCTGTGATTAAAAGCTTGGCCTTTATAGTTCCATTTTTCACCCATGATTTTTGTTTAAAACGTACATCAATTAATTCAGAACGATTTTCATTTAACACCTAATAATGCCATGCAGACCGTTCCCAAACATGGACACTTCCAATTCATGAAACAGTGGATTTTTTTTTTACCGATAACTGTAATAAATTTATCTCCTTCTATGATCATGCAAAGTTATTGTTTAAATTTGTTTTAACACAATCATGACCTGAAGGAATATTTAGAGAGGGGAGTGTTTTTTTTAATACGTCTCTCGTTTAAAATGTCATCTGGGAAAAAAAAGACAAGGACAACATTAAACAAAGAAACTTTGTTAGCCATCTTCGTCAGTTTGCTGAAGAGTGGGAAAAAAATAACATCGATGACAAACATATTCTCTCCTCGCCCTTAATCCTGTGATGAATATAGGAATATCAACTTCTCACACTATCTTTGTATTCCACTGAGGGTATTCCGGTTAAACACGTACCAGACAATATCCTTGAAAGAAAATTTGGCGCGAAGTTTGCAACATGATATACTTGCACTTGAATCAGGCCGCCCATGTGACAAGCGAGAGGAGTGAGAAGATTTTTTTCTTCAAAGTTTAAGGGATACTGTTTCATAAATGTATTTTTTTTCTCATACTGATTTTTATTCGCGTGTATATAGTTTGCACAAGCTATCAACACAGGCAGTATCCGTTTATATGTCTGGTAACACGTAGGCAAACTAAAAAGTAACTAACATATACAGTTTTGGGAGAATTATGAACTAAATTGATTTTAAGACATCACGAATACATGTATGGAGAACTATTATGGACCCCCTTAAATAAAATTAAACAAACGAACATAGGGAATGTGTGTATACAACAACCAATCCACCTGTTCCGTTGTAAAACATATTAGTGTTAAATGGTTGTTTACACTATAATGCGCAGCTGAATGAAATGTCGGTGTAAATGAGGGGAGGGGGGACACGGGCGATTGTCCCCTATGATTTGCCAGACTTGATAATTCGATATTTTGACACCCCCTTCTTTTTCTTGACTTCCTGTCAGAACTTCTAGAGACATACTAGTATAACAATTCAGGGATTTTGCAATAATTTTTTTTTCCAAGGGAAGGAGTCTTTAAAACTTTTATTAAAACCTGTGCCCCTATTAAGATCTTGCATCGCCCTTGTTTGATTTGTTCTTTGCATGAACATTGATATGCAATATGGTTTATTACACATACATAACAGAACAAAAATGAAATAATCATACTGATACAGGGCCAGTGAAATTATTTTCAAATACGTCACACAAAAAGTTAGTCTTTACCAAACAGCTCTGAGAGGGGATTAAAAACTCGATTGGACACAAATATTATCTAGAACTTCTACACTAAATGTCAACTCTTGCGTCAGCCCCACAATACAGGGCCCAAACATGGCGCGTCGTCAAGAGAATTGTCATGTCTCTCCCCCTCTTGTTCCGAGTCTAATAACAATACATGAGTAAATAGTAATGAACTTGGAGAGAGAATTTGGTGAGGGCACCGCAGAGATCCTATCTGGATTTGTTTTCTAGAAAGTCTCGAGCATGTGCCTATTAAACGTGGAAATGATCAATGAAAAGTCCGGCTCTGCATGTGCGATGACAAGATAGGTACATCATCACCAAGGCCAGGTCGGTCAGAGTAACTGAGACCGAATGCAGTTGGTGACTTTGTGTCGTGGTCGAGTGGTTTGAATGTTCAACTGTAGATACGAAGGTCGGAGGTTCATGTCCTTGCCAAGGTGCTAATGCCCTTCGCAAGGCTTTGTTCTATCATTTAGCTACTATGTCCAAAAGACAACTGGGGAGGTGGTAGGGTGCCGAAAGCCATTCTGACGGAGCTTGCCATATATGCCTTCACTGCGGTCAATATGGTGAAATGCTCCTAATGAAATGGAGATGGTGCACATTTTTGGCGTGTGCGTGAATCTGATGGCAGGGGTAATGATACTTTAAAGGGATTAAACAAGCTCTTTTATTTGTCGAGAAAGAAATAGCGATTGCACCATTTGTGAATAAAAGCTGGGATCATGCGGCCAGTTTGCTGTATTTTGATTTTAGGGTACCTACCTCATATGGATTATTATCACAGGACAACTTTTCCCGAAATTTTGTTCATTAGGACAAGCACCCTGCAAGACAAGTCATCCGATATACAGTGTGAGTCCAAAAAAAGTTTACACCTAGAAAATTGCTTATTATTAAAAAAATCATCAACAGTGAATTATTATACATCTTCTGAAAGAGTGTTTTATCCCAACTCATTTGGTATCATTTTTGTGTGGTATGTGATCACGCTTAGATGAGCAGGAGGCATTGTTTGCAAGAGTGCAAAAATCGACTTGCGCCAAAGTTGCTTATGTGATATTTGAATAAAACAATTGGGATTTGGGTATTAATTCCGTCTTTGCAGATCCAAATAACATCCCTAACAAAATTAATCATGCCACACATATCAAATATCGAATATCAAATATCAACGAACATTTGTGCGCGTGTGTGTGGGTGTGTGTGACTTTGGTCTTTGCAAAAAACATATGCAATGCATTTCATTTGATACATTCAATTCATTCTCTCACTCCGCTAATCCCAACATAATACATACTGTATGCATCACTTTGGCGCAAGTCGATGTTTGCACTCTCGCAAACAATGCCTCCTGTTCATCCAAGCGTGAACACATATCACACAAAAATGATACCGAATGATTTGGGATAAAACACTCTTTCATAAGATGTATAATAATTTACTGTTTATAGATGATTTTAAAAATAATTAGCAATGTTCTAAGTGTAAACTTATGGCAATGTACAATCTTTTTCTTTCTTTCTTTTTCTTTGGGGGTCTAAGGAAATAGTTGATTTTAACAGCTGATTTATCATTTTCAACACGATTCTGTTAACTGTCACGCAGGAGTGCCTGAGAGGTTTTCATTAATTATCCAATTAACTACAGACAGTATCATGATGAGTCTAGAAGGAGCATACATAGCACATGTTTGTGGTTGTAAGTAGCGCGGGTATGACTTGGTGATGATGAGAAAGTATCTGTTAACCATTTGAGGGTCGATATCCTGGATTAAATCTTGTTAAAGTCCTGTTACTATCATTTTGCAATAAGATGTACATGTACAGATCAGCACAAACAGGTCATGATTTGTTTGGCTTCGCTAGAAATCCTGTCAACGACAACCACTCTGTTCAATCGTTGAAATTGATTCAAAGAACCTCTATACTAAATTTGAAATCACTGTTTAAAAAACACCCAAATGTTTGAAGGCCCAGAAAAAGACAAATCAGTTTTATTTGAAGTGTATCGACGTCAGTCTGAGTTGCTCCGGTACACTCATACGACCGCTCTAAAGGTGATTCCACCCTTTTTATCAAATATTTCTGAAGGCGCCACTTTCTTATAACCTACAAAGATTGAAAATCTGCCATCTCAAATTTGGTAGACAGACAGAATCAGACAACAAGGCTAAACTGGCAATACTTTTGGCAGCAACTTACTTGACGGCATACCGATTTGACTTTGCCAACGGAATGAGTTATCGAAGACTGTTATGGGCGCAGGAAAAAAGCATGGACTTATCCTCTTATATATATATATGCCCTTTGCATAGAGGGAGGCGTCATTCATTATTGCGTCATTACCTGTGGTAATTAAGTATGTGAAGGCTATTATTGCATGCGCCAATAATTCAAAGCAATGATCACACTGTTCATTTTTCACATTCGAATAAAAAATTAAAAATATTGCACAAAATTCGTGCATACAAAAATGAAATAATTGGCTTAAAGATTATTTTTTATTGACTTCGGTACAATATCATTCTCACATGGCGTGTCGAAGACCTTGCTAGTCATTGACGCAGCGTCGCTCTCCGCAAAAGGCTCTCCATAGTAAGTCCAACTTAGAGTTAAGTTCGACTTAAAATCTTTGAGAAACATCCCCTGGTGTGCAACAGGTGTTAGAGGATTGGCGTACAGTAGGTTCTCATCCTTCATGTTGTGCCATAAAATCTGAGAGCTGACTTCCGCGTTAACACGCTGATTTGTAATAGGGCAATGTCTGATCAAAACAAACACGTGCACGTTGAACAGTTAGTCACGTACAGCTACTAATTAACACACTGCCACAGTTGTTTTACCGCTTGAATCCAAAGTCGCGAGAGGCTTAACATTGGCACGGGTAAAAAGTCATAGGTTAATAACTCGATGTGTTCAATATTAAGGTATTGGGCGAATAGTAGGAAACTGTTAAATGAAGCATTTTCAGACCTTAACGTCACTGATGATGTCATAATGAAATGGAGGCGTCGATGCATTTCCAGCTGGGGGGGGGGGGGGGCATTTGAACGAACTTGAAGCAGAAATGAAGATCATATTACACACCGACCGTTCGGTATCATATATCCCTTGTACAAGTTTTTATTGTGCTATATTTTACTGTTCCGGCCTTCTAACGAGTTGGAGGGGGCGTACGCCAACTCAAACATAGTATGGATACGCCATGATACTGCGTAGGATACTGCGATCAGGACTGTCACCATTTCATTAAATGTTGTCAGTTGCCACTATTCTTTTCTCGTTTCGACTACATTGTACATGTTCGACACTCGGTACAACTATATATCATAGCCATTATGGGTATATTCTATATTTTGTACCTTTTTATTGCTATACATCTATATAATACATGATTTATATCATCTGCGTTTATGTTGAGTAATGGGCTATCAACCTTCAAAAGTACTTTCTAAATACTGAAAGTAAATCTCAACTTAGACAACAAGTTGTTAGTGGAAAATGAAGTTTCAAATACAATACGTGTAAAAACCGAACATAATATGTATACCGAGAAATAGGTAGTTGATGAGTTCGAGTTTATCAAGTACTTAAAATAATTCAATTTAGAAAGTGCATTAGTTCGTAACTATGTTCAAAACACATACTAACAAATAACTACTTGGCTTGATAAAATGTAAAATCTTGGCTCTAGAAAGAAAGTGCCCCACTTAAACTTACCTCGCCTTGCGGCAACATTCTGCAGAAACACACAGAGTAAAACAACTGCTAACATGTTGCGAGACATTGTTGACGAAGTCATCATGGCGCAGAATTAATCCATAAATATCGCTCAGAAGAACGAGGCTAAAGGATGATAACATAGGCTGTTGTCAGTTGCACGCTGGGTTAGACATTAATCACTTATTAACCAGCCTCCCTTATCCTCTGCTTGTCCCAGTATGGCGTTCGTTTGTGAACTTTGAAACTCGAATGGTTATCATGCAGGTTGGACTGAGAGCGAGAGTTTCGAAGAAGAAGGGTAAACGTTGGCAAGCAACCCCCACAATGAAACTATAGCCAGGTCTAGCGTTTGCCCCCTCCCGCTATCGGCCTACAACAGGATGACGTCATTCATTCTGACCGTGTTCTCACGAGAACCACGATTACGAGTGCCGCGTCTGAACAGGGTCATATTTATTTACCTTTCTAACGCGTATCCGACACAAGCTAATGCTTTTTATTTAACTTTTTTTTTCGTGTGTTAACATTGTTTATATGCTCATAATTGTTTATGTCATTACTTAAGTACAAAATTATTACTTGAGTATTTTTTAATATAAAGGGGGAAAAATGGAAGAAAATAAAGTTACTTTGAAATGGATCAATTATAAGGCCTATACATGAAGAGCTGAATTTACATGCTTATCTGGTGTGAACAGAGGACGCTCATGTGCATAGAAAAGAAATCAAATAGAGCTAAATGAATGAGCTGGAGGTGGCTTCTGGTTATCTAAATTGTTTGATTAAATAAATTGATAGGGTGCTGACTTATAAACATGACAGACAAAGCAACTTGAAGGATGGGCTAAACTCTTAATGACCAACCATGTCTATCATGTGTCTCATCCACATGGTCAAGTGTTCATTTTCATAATTATGGTCACGTCCATACGGTCATTGACACATGTGGCCGTGAGCGCCATACAATGTTGCGTTCATACATCATAACTATGTCACTTAACTTTGCAAGAATAATATATAGTAGGAACACACTTTTCTGATCCGATCGTTCAATTCAAGGTACTTTTCGTGTGAATGATATCAAGGCAAGTCTTAAATTCAGCCTTGTTACCTCTACTCGTTAGCACGGAAATGCGTTTCCATGCACACAATGTTTTTTCTTCGTCGATTCAAAACTAATATAGACATACCCCCTCCCCTAAAATTAAAAAAGCTATCAAAAATATGCCGACATTGTGGGTTACGGCCATATTAGATCTTCGTGACAACTTTTATTGACCTTGCCTACTTTTGATTTAATATTATTCAAAAAATGTGAAATGATATTACTGTCGCAATGATTTTCGGCTTGTCAATTTTATCTATAACGTGGATAAATTAAAGAACTACCCCAGAATGCAATTTCGTCTTAAATATGGATACTTTTCTTTACATTTTGATAGTCAAAATTCAATGATCCTAAAGCCTTGGCTCAGCATTTTGTCACCGCAACGTATGCTAAGAAGTACCGTGATTTCAATAAATTTTACCTTTAAAAGTGGCATATAATGATATAACTCGGGCAACCTGCTGTTTCAACCCATCGTTGTCTATCAATAGTCTTCGGTTTATTTTCGGCGCTTCCTCAATCAGAGGGAAAGACAGTTGAAGCTCCCATGATGGTTGGAATCAATTAATTTGAAGGATACTAGTCACCTGATTGAAGTGAAAGCCCTTTAAGAGGACACAGACCATGCCAAATATTGAGTCATGATGGTAAGGTGGTCTTCTAATCGGGAGGTTAGATACTTTACAAATGCCCCTTAGGCCTCGAGGTTCGAGTACTTGTTTGTTTGTTTGTTTGTTGTGTATTTTCTTCTTTCAAATTAACATGATCAACGTGACGTTTTACGAACATTCATCAGGCGTTAAAAAAAGATGTTGTATTGCCCTTTGCGACGGACCCAACAATCTTTAAAACTACGGTCGGATTTTTATCAAAGTTTTGTTTTAAACCCTTTTTTGGGAAAAAACACATGTATTTTGTTTGTTTAAATGGGATGTAAATGCATAAAGTCATCAAAATTTTCCCAAATTCTCACTCGTCTCCTATCCTAGTTTCGAAATCCTGCTAGCGTAAACAAGTAGACACAGGCCTCGTGTACGTGTATACACCATGCACTGTACCAGTTACAATTAAGGCGACGTTCCTGGTTTTCAGTTTTGGGGCAATGGTCGCTGTTTTTTTTTTTGGGGGGGGGGGGGAGAGAGATTTCGACCGAGGTTCTGGCACCTAAAGGGCAATATATCTTTTTTTTTAGGCCTCATTAACACCCGAAAAGAAACATTTGATTAGAACAAATATATACCATCTTTCACTTTGTGATGATTAGATGTAGTTATAGTGAGCAATGCAACTTTCAAAATAAAAGTGCTTTGCAAATAGAAACTAAGGGAAGGGATTTCATCTGAAAAACAACAACAAAATTGCTATGGTAACTGTTCTCATTTTCCTATACGCCGTTTCTAACAAGGCCTGCGGACCCATAATGTCAGCGGCCGGGTGATGAATTAGGCATTACAAAATCATATTGATTTCAAAGTAATGATAATCAACATTTAGAGGATATGAATCGTCTAAACATGTAGTGTCTGTTTCAGTTTTATATAGACCGGGTAGTCTTTTTAGTTCGCCAGCTGTTTTCCGAGAGAGAGCCTTGTTCTGTCAAGTTTCTCCAATATGTCTCGAAAGAGTTGCTTTCTCGCTTAAATTTATGACATCGGTTTTGCGTTGTCGGGCATGTGGTTTAAAATTATCTACATCTTCATAAATCGTGTCGAAAATTGAGGCCTTATTTCATGACCTCTTTCTTAAAGTAGATTTATCGCAGTTATTGTCTGGAGGACATTCTAAACACAGACATGATCAAAGTAAGAGAGAAGCTGTAGGGATAAGCAGGCACGAGAAACAAACGCTTTTCATAGAGTTGCTCAAATTACAGTTTTCGACATAAATCCTTCATTATCTTTGAGCACCATTGTGTTATCAAAAAATCATTCTTTTTAACATAATGATCAGTTGTTTTTGATCAACAAACCATTCGTCTGATAACATTAACTTTGGAAGCTGTATTTGTATTGCTTATAGCAAATACGTGCGCTGTACAAGAAAGAAAGAGAAAGGAAAATATAGAAAAAGAATAGTAACCATACACTCGGATTATTCCTCAAGTCTAGAACAGATATGTTTTAAGACGTGTTTGAAAACTTTCAACAGTGTAAAAAGTGTCTGTACTAGTTTGGCCACGGGGGATTATACCTCCCTGCAAGGTCACTGACAGGTGGTTATCTCATCAAATCAGCTCTCAATTAACATAAGAAAAGGGGGACCAACATGCACCGATTAGGCATTGTTTGCTATATAGAGGGCGCAAGTAGCTATAAGTAGTGCAGTGGGGCTTTAATGTATTTTCTTACGGTGCAGTCCAAAGCTCTGCTGACCAAGCTTGAAGAAATTCTTGTCCACAAAATGTATTTTATTTATGTATTTAAAAAAAAAAAATTATTCGTTGGTTATTAAACAGAGATCTTTGGGAAGATCTAATGTTTGGTGAATTCTGGATGAATAATTCAGTAGAATAGTAAAACTTTGGTGTATATTGAGTAAATAATTAGGTCAATACGTAGGAGCCAATTACTTGAGGAACTTAAAGGTTAAATAGAGAATTTTGGGAACTCGGACTCACAAAAACTGCCGAAAGATTGATGTTGTTGTCCTTATAGCGGACTGATTCAAGATCACGAGATGGGTTGTTTAAGGATATTAAAGATGTCTGTTTCCGACCGATCTCTGCTTGACCCTTCCTTTAACCAATTATCGAATTCGATGGAGTGAATTCAACTTTTTTTTAGCAGAATGAAAGATGTGGAAGAGGAACTCCCCTCTGAAAAACGGAAAGGCTCACTATATTTTTCTGATATCAGAATTATATCTTTCTAATACAAATACTGCAAAGGCCTATCTTAGAAATTGTTTTTCCTATCTGTTTAATCAAAAGTCAAATTGATAAGAATGCAGTTGAAATTCGGTTTTAAATCACCTTGACCTGGATTACAATTGATTTTAAATACCTAATTTAATTTATGTCATGAATATATAATAATATTTATTTGATAAATGAATACAAGTAAAACAATTTGAGTAATGGTATAATTTTATAAAAGCATAATCATAGTTTTTGTAATAGGGTCTTTGTTATGACAGCATTGATTATATACTGCATTGTTCAACTTGTCATAATTACGTTTTTCCCGAAATTTGTCAAACACGTGAAGAAAACAATCTAATAATGCAACACCATCGGTACCTTTCGGGGTGCAGTGCTGTATCCTTAATGGGTGCAAAGATTAAAGTGCTAAGTTCTTGTGTTTCATCAGTAACGGTGTAACGTACATTCTTGAGAGCGTTAACACTACATTTCTTTTAATTAAAAATGTGTGTGACCCTTAAGGATGTGCAAATGAAAGAGAAATGGGTTTTTCTTTTGCTAAGTGCAAGGTATATATTGATCAAATTAATGAAACAGCTAGAATATCAAAATTGATCATGATATTGGTACATAAACCCAATGCATAACGCCATTTTAGTCAGCAATTTCTTCCTTCAGTCAACTAACTCATTTCGACATCATCTTTACAAACTTTCAAGGCAGGAGGAAGGCTTATGTTTCTGTGACAAATCAGGTTCGGTCATTCAGAAGGAGTGCCTCAGAAAGAGGGTTTGTTCTTCCGTTGAAAGCACAGAACAGAATCCTGAAAAGTATGTGTCTGGCCGTTGACATCCGGGACAATGAGCGAGCACTTTCTATCCGTATGTCTTCCCCATGTTCATGACAGTCATACACTTCACTCTTCAACAAGTCCACATTTTCATCATTAAGGGAGAGTTTCCTGTTCAAGTTAAGGAACAGACATTCATCATCTCAGTAACTATTTAAAGAATTCGCTATTAAACCAAGAATGTTATTCAGTATGTAGACAAAGTCGTTAGAGTAATTGAACTGTTGCTTAGATCTGTCTTGAAACAGTGTGTGAAATTTAAAAAGCCCTTCTTTGTATTTCTTTTCTGAAAAGAATCATCAACTGAACATAATTTTGTCTAAAAAAAAAATTGGTTTTCATTGAGAGTTCTTTAAATTCAAGTAATCAAGAGGTCATTGGTATTATTATAATTGAGGATTAATTGTTACATAAGTCTAAGAAGTTTTCCATATATAATTACAATTAAGCTTCCCATGACCTTTTTTCAACTTATATTTCAAAAGAGTGTGAGAGTAAA